TCCCACAGCAGCCTAAATACAGCTGTATTGGGAATCTGCACAGATAAAAGACTGGGAACTGCCATTACTGTTTCATTTTTAAAGTTGCAAGTTTTGGGGCTGCTCCTGACTTCACTTCCCGGTGAGTAGATGGACTGCCTGTGGGATGGAAGTTTGCACACTTCTGACTTTACTGGTTTTCTACTTATTCCAGGTCTGTGACTCACTAAATAGTGAAGACAGGAGTCAGTTAAGTCAGCAAAGGAACATCTTGTTATTTTCACAGGTTCTCTTGAAAGTGACACTAAACTCAGGAATTAAATCTTAAAAATGCATTCAAGTACCTTAACTATTAACAAAAATGTTTCATATTTGTGTATCACTCAGCTGTAGATCCTCAAATCATCTCTGAATTGGTGCTGAAGCTGTCCTTTCTTCTGGAGGGTGGCTACTTTTGTTTCCCATGGCCCCTGTGTGCAGGGCCGGCCTTAGGCGCCCTGTGCGAGAAGGCTTTACAGAGTCCCTCAGTGACCACACTCTCAGTGATCACACCCCTCAGTAGCCACACCCCTCAGTGGCCACACTCATTTCTCCAATATCCGCACCATTTAAAGACTCCCATTTTGTTAAGCCACAAAGAAACATATCAAAAAGTATGATGAAAATAAAAGTTTTATTCAAAGGTATTAAACTTGTCGGCACAATATAAGTATTCTTATCAAATAAAACAACAGAAGGTAAACAATAAATGTCAAACTAAAAAAGAGTCTATAAAAATAAAGTGTCAGGATGTCATGCAGACCTTTTTTTCAATTAAGTGCATCTAGAAAAGTAAAAAAAAAAACAGAACACAAAACCGAGACTACAAGTTAAATGAATGAATTACTTTATGTCCGAATATCGAATCGAATATACGAAAAATGTATTCAGGCACATAATAATTTGTTTGAATGCATGGCGGCCATGTTGGCCACCGGCGCTTTCTGCAAATACGTGCCACCATCTTGGAGGCGGGGAGCATGACGTCACATGATGCCATGCATGCGTGGCATCAGGTGGAGTTACACGCAGATATAGGCGCCGCCATCTTGGTGTATACCTAGATATACACCAAGATGGCAGCCCACAACATGTGCAGTGTCATATGACGTCATGCGCCCTGCCTCCAGAATACGCCAGTGGCTGAATCCAAAATAGCATAAAAATGTATTTTCATGAATGAACAGGAAGAGATGTAAATCACATCCTGTTCATTCATAACTGGGGACACATAGTACTATGTGTCCCCAGTTATTTACAAACACTGGAGTGATCAGACGATCACTCCAGTGTTTGTTCCGTACACACAGAGGATCGGTAAATATCACCGATATTTACCGATCCTCCGCTCGGCCACGCACAGAGCCGCTGTCATCCTGAAACTGACAAGATGACAGCTGCTCCGCTCTCCTCACCGCTCGGCCATCCTGAAAGCTGTGGCTTCTCTCCTCCCTACCGCTCAGCCATCCAGACAGCAGGCAGCGCTCCCTCCTGCCCCCCCACCCTCCAGGCTTCAGAGGACAGTTTCTCTTTGGAACCCCACTGCCTCAGCCCATACAGGCAGCGGGGATCCGAGGACAGCGCTGAAAGGCAGGGGGGGGCGCAGCGGAGGAAGGAGTGCTGTCATTCATCAGTGGTGGACCCAGGGAACAAAGGGCCCTGGTGCAAGATTATTTTTGGTACTGCTTGGTTTAATGGACATTGTTGGTCTATAAATTACCTTTTTGACTAAACTCCATAAAGGACTGCCTATCTTGTGCATTGACCATCTGTGATATATGAGCTTTCTCTATCTTGTGCAACCTAAATGAATAAAAGCTGATTTCCCATGGCTTGCACATTGTAGGTATTTGCACTGCTGTGTTTGTTGTCAAATATTGTACAAATAGTGATGTGCAGGCAGCCAATCAGAAAATAGCTCCCATTAGCTTGTTCATTATTACATTTATGAGATCACTTCTGACTTTTTCAGTTTAAATCAGCGAAATAAATTCCACATGCATCAAAAAAAAGGTGTGCAAAAGCCCTACATGCCCCTTGCTGAGCCAGAGTTAAAGTTCTGCTAACATCATGGAGCATTAGCTTTGCTGATTGAGAGCTCTGGCTATGACTGGGCCTGGAAGGGGGGATGGAAACATTTCAGGCCTCAGCAAAGAGACCACTGCTTCCCCACGGAAAGCAAGAAAGCAAGAATCCTTTTCTGCAGCATTTTGGCTTTTCTACTTAATCCTCAACTGCTTTCTAAGGAAAACAAACTGTAAGCTTTAGCTCACCTTTTGTCTTGATGCAACTGTATTAAGCTCATCTAAACCAAAGGTGGACTTAATGTGCTTTATTCACTAATAGGCAAATAGGCTGAGCACATTGCAAGGGGATTTTTCACATTGCAGGGGAGGTTTCCCTTAGCTTAGCGGTCAAAATCCACTTTGCAAAGAATAACCAATCACAAGCAAGGGAATAAAACAGTATTTGCTTACACATGGCTGGATGATGGAAGTCAGCAGAGCTCAACACATTCACTAGGCTAAGGGCAAATTCCCTTGCAAAGTAAACACCTTATTTGCCTTCAGTAAATCAACCCCAATAACTCCTTGCTAACAGTGAAAGATATTCACTTGCCCTAATTTCTATATAACATTGCAGGAATTGTACCTACATGGACATTCTCATCATGCCTGTGGATGTGATAAATAACCCTCATCATGAGCCAGAGAACAAGAAAATGACGAACAACCCGCATGAAATAATGGATGTGACTTGCCATGTTTCCAGCTATACAATTGATGACATAATACCACCTCCTCCTCTATTCGATGACCTCGTTATTGAGACCAATAAAGATGTCCATGGCAAGCTGCATAAAAATAGTGAAATTGCAAGCAGCCAGTATGGAATTAATGTTTTCATTGTTGGGCTATTCTTGATGTTTGCGGTCTATCTGAAGATCCTTGGACTGACTGAGAGTGATCGTCTCACCTTCCTGGTCATCTTGATGCTGATACAAGTGGTATGGATGATATTTTATATCTCCATCAGTGACTGGAAGAAGTGGGCCACCACAGAGAAAGATGAACATGCTGGGGCCAGGTGGCTAAGATGTAAGTCAAAACAAGATTTTTTACTTTTATATTTTTTATTATTATTATTATTTTTATAGTCGGACTACCTATGACACAT